GAATCAATATAGGAACAATTTAGCTACCTGCAAGAATTGAATGGGCTGGGGAATTCCAAGTTTGTGCAGCGCCTCATAGGTGACAAAAGAATTCTACAGCATACAAAAAAGATGGCATAAAATGAATGCAGCAGTTCAGAAATTTTCATTACCAGAAGATAATAAGAAGGTTAAAGATGCAATTTACAGAGAATGTAGAGGTAAAAGATATAGTATACAAAGAATAAAGGGGTCAAATTAAGTCATTACACAAATCTAATCTAGCAAACTTGTACATACAGTTTATATAGCTCTTACCGATGGTTCATAATCTAGAAATGGCAAAAGTTTTGGTAGCTTCAACAAAAGGGAAAGATGAGAGAAGTGACAGTTCATACCTGAGAAAAAAATGACTCCACAAACTCCCTTTGAGCAATGACAAATACCTGTTGTGTGAAATAAATAGTGGAAGTCATCACAAATAACAAATACTTTCTAAAGATCTAGGAACTAAGTTTATTGCCCCAATATATAAGCTATATTCTACCCATAGAAACTAATGGTGAGACCATCACAGGATTATTGATGCGAACTGCAATCCTAGTTAGTTAGAGAAACATCTATTGATGGGTTGAAGGTAGTTAATAATTAGGACCATATGTGTTTAGAGAATAATTGATTCTGTATTTAAAACTCCACGATAGCAGGTATGCATAGAAAATAACTGCTGGCAATTATGTATTACAAGTATATATTTGACAGTAGATTGTGTAATTATGAGGGGTTCAGTTCTTTGCAATTTGTGGACAGAGAATAGTCTCTGCTGGATACTTTCGTCTCAACAGTAAGCGTATTGCTGCATTGTTCGTCATTTCACTGTTCAATGTCATATTTGATCAATTGGTGCTCTACCAAATATAGACTGACGAACTGGAATATAATTATATCAAAAGAATACAAAAATCCTCCCAATTACTGTCAATTAAACATTAGGTGGACATGGATTCAGAGGTGAACCACTCCACAGGCCCAAAACAAAATATGATAACCACAATCCAGGTATCACTTAGCAATGCACAGAGGATTTCAAAACACGCTACTTACAGCTGGTGTCCAATGTACTCCTGCACGAAGTGATCCTAGAACCTCGCCTTCCTTCACAAGTCCGTTAAACAATGACTGGAAGAAAGATCCTTCGACAGCCAAACCGCTGGTTCCATCAATTTCTTGCAGTAACTGCTGCAACGAGCTCCATACCACAGTCAAATTCGTCGGAACAGTGGTTCCCCGCGCAGCGCCCCGAACCATGGCACCAACACGAGCCACATAGGCAGGGGTGTACAGCTGCCCACCTTCAAGCCTTCCTTTCACCTATTTTCAAAATCCAGCACTCATCAAAACACAATTCTCACTTTCCTTCCAAATTAAACAAAACACAAACCAACACACACAGACTCACAATTGTTCCAAGGCGCGGCTCCAACACGGAGGCAACCAAGTCCAAACCTACGTTCAATTGCGCCGCGAGTTCCGTCAGCGCAATCTGACTACACTCCTGAAGCCTCTCGTTAATCTCTTCCGCGATTGAGTCCCAATAGGACTCAGACATGATTTCTCCCTGAGTCAACATCAGTTCTCGGTATTCCGATATAACGCTCTGCGCCTGCTTCTCCACGTAGTATAAGTCAACTCCAGTAGCGTCAGCGAGATCAATCAAAGAAACGCGCCCTTGTCTCTTCACCTCCGCCACCATTTCATTCCTCAATTGATCCTAACAACATGCGCAATCGCATTAATAAACGTTTGATTAAGACCAAGCATAAGCACAACTAAGTGAACGAAGCGAGGAAACTAAACGATTATCGGTAACTGAATCCATTGAAAATGAAAATTGCGAGCGGTGAAACCTAATCGCAAAAGAAGAAGCAGATAGAGCGTACAAGAGTGATGTACTCTTTGCCGGAGACAGTGTGGAGAAGCTCGAAATCGATGATTTGGAGGTGCTGCAATTTCTGGACCAATTCCACGACGTTTCGCTCCGATAATCGAATGCTCGACTTGGCTTGCTGCGCGAACTCGAATTGTCGCTGCAGCTCTAGCAGTTCGTCATCCATGGTACGATGTTTGCACGCTCTGAAGATTGCCCTGCGTTTTTCTTTAGCTCTTCGGAATATCACTGAAATGTTCTCAGCTTGTATGTTTGCAATGACTACTGAAATTGTGTTCAGTTACACTCTTTTTGTTTAAGAAAGAATTTGGAACAAGGGAGAAATTCATTGTTTGCGAATTCTATTTTATTAACTTATTATTATTTTCTTTTTATATGTTAAATATATTTTTAATCAATTTTTGAAATAAATATATATATTTTAATTTTTATGCATAATAATCGTACAGTACAAAACTTATATTATATTATAGATATTGTAGATGTTTTTTTAATAATTTGCATTTTATTAATTATTATATTAACAAAAATACAAATTTTATTCGAAAACATTATTAAAAATATTGATAATACTGTATAGATTTTTTTTCACTTATATTTTTAATAATTAAAATGATAATCGGACTAGTGAAAAGGTTGAAATAAATTTTTAAAGATGAAGTTTGATTTTTATTATTGTTATTGAAAAAAATATATTAATATGATTTTTTAGATAATTATTTAAATGACAATACAAAAATATTTTAATTTTACAAATCCATTGATTCTTTACTTAAATATACGAGTTTAATTGCTATAGTTTTAATCTTTAGAATTATTAAAAAGTATAAAAAATTTTATTTTGATTTTTTGTACTTGTAATTTGGTTTAGTAACTCTAGAACTGGTCCTTGTCAACATTTTAATTTAGGGTTTCTACCTATAACTACTTTTTAATAATTTTAAAACCATAAAAACTAAAAGCCAAATGTTTGGTGGAATCAAAACTAAAATTGGAAGAAAAAACATGTATTACTTTTTTTACAACGGTCTTTCTATTTTTTTTTTAATTGTAACTATTGGTGTGCACATGTATTTGAAGTTCTTTATTATACGTTTAAAACAAATTACAATTACAATTTAAAAAAAATCTATTTACATAAAAAAAAGTTGAAATATATTAAATATGCAAACATTTCAATACTACTGACTAATCATATAAGTGAGTCACATAATTGAAAATTATCGTCTTTCTCATAAATATTTTAAAGTTTGTATTTATGATGATGTTTTATTGGTTAATATATATATATATATATATATATATATATATATATATATATATATATATATATATATATATATATATATATATTCTAACTTGCAAAAAATGTACCAAACTCAAACATGATATGCTGAGGAATATTATTTTTATGCACCTGCTAACTAATACAAAACCCTCAAGTGTGAGTTTATACAGTAAAAGCCCCATAGGTTCTAAGTTGATGAATAGGGTCCACGAAAGGTATGAATTGGGCTTATTCGGCCCAATTTGACAGGCCTTGTTTCTTTCGCCCCATCATCCTTGATCAAAGTGGTGGGGTGAGGTGTGAAATTTAATTATTGATTTAAAAAAAAATTATGTAAAGAAGGTACGATTATGAAAACTAATGACCGGTTGAACCGGTTTAACCAAAATCAATATTAAAAATCGATTTGTTATTTTTAAATAATCAGATTTTAATTAAAAAATAGAATAAAAATAATTGAATTTTTGAGTCTAACTAATTTTACTAAAAAAACAAAAAATAGATCATTTTAATCTTTTTATCCCTTATTAATTATATTAATTTTAAAAAATAGTTATTTTATTATAATTTTATCAGCTACATACTTATGTTGGTCAAGAAAAAAAAGTTACCTACCCAAAAATCCCAAATATTTGTTGGTAAATAAATTGTTGTTTCACAGTTTATTATTAATTTATTAATTAACTTCTAAAAGTACCTAACTCATTAGGTCCAGCCTGTGAAAGATTGGAGTAGAAGCAAGATAACTTTGATTAGATTCTCAACACTATTATTATAATAAAAAAAAAAAAACTTGTAAAGGTACCTTTTAAAATCAGCAAATACACCGAATAAAACTGGTTTATGTGTTACAGAAAAATGCTAGTTTCAGTTAAACCTTTTCTCAATGTTTGTGCTGACAAAAGGAAAGTCAAAACCAAAAAGCAAACTGCAATATATTCTGTGGCATGCAGAGGATAGATTAAGAAACTGTTAAACAAGAGAAACAGAAATACAAAACTGCTTCAACCTTATACAAAACTGCTTCAAGAGAAACAGAAATACAGAAATACAAAACCATATACCAAACAGAGTCTTCATCAGGTCATTCATTCAGTCCAGCACATATGAACTTCACAATCCAAAGCATACATTAGGCCCAATAGCAACAAAGCTCTTATCTGACCGAAGAACATGTTTTAGTCTTTTTGATGCGTCTTTATCTTTTGTCACAGCAGGAAAAATTATAAATTAAAGTGTCAACTATGACAATTATTGGGACAGCTGTTTTTTTGCATTTTGTCGTTTTCTTTTTTATCTTTTGTTGCAACTTCATTGTACCAAAGATACTAGAAAACTGTCTCGCTTGGTTCAATGAATGGAAAGAAAAAGTATGTTTTCTTTTTATCGTTTTCATCGGTGGGACACTGAGGCTGTACTTTTTGGGAAAAAAAATGTGTTAACTATGTATTACATGATTTTTATGTTGAGTAATATTAACTTAATCATTCATTAATAAGGCCGATAAATTAGATAATGATTTATTGTTTAATAAACTTAAATAGTGATATTAACTCTTTGACCAAGTCCATATGAATAATTTTTTGTTAAAAACCTGATTAATCACTGGTGAACCTTGTTTAAGAAATCGGAGTTTTCATATTAAGTTGGTTAACCAAATCGTGTATATATATATATATGTTCATTAAAATTGGATTTATTAAAAAAGAGTGTGATAATAAATCCATCAGGCCCTGGAAAAAAAGAGTGTAAATGAGAAGTGCAACCAAGGATTTATTAGTCATTCTATATCGCATACAGTACCTTACGCTCATTGTTTAGTAGCTCAGAATCTGACATAACTGATACTGAAAAAGATCTTGACCTGCTTCCCAAGGAAGATTTCCTGATGCTCCTTAAATTTGAGGCCTCAATGCGATGCCTAATGACCCAGTAACACATGGTGCCCAAAGTTGTGGCCATTATAGTGGTCCCTATGATAGTGACCCCAATTGCTAGCCACCTCTGATCCTTACCCACCACTACAAATGTCAGTGCCAAGAAGGCCACGGAAATAAGCACACAAGCCAACCACATTAGCTTATTAATGATGGCCATCATCTGCTTTTTTGCCTTGCTTTCTATGATCACAACCGAGGTTTGCACCACCACCACAGCCAGAGAAATGAAGAGGGCAATGGAATCAAAGACAAAGAAAATGAGAAATGCAGGTTGTGGGGCTATGTTTGCTTCACCAAGGGACATCCCTGAACCTGGAGGAATGTCTTTTGGATCATCAGCAAATTGCCCAGGGACTGTGAAAATAGCTGCAAAGGCAACTGTGGCAATGAGGACTGCAACCACAGTGGTGGAGTTTATTGCATTGTTGAGTCCTTCAGCATGCATTTTGTTGAGACGTTTGGCTATGCCTTGAACACCTCTTCTAGTTTGGCGAGTGTGTTCCAACTGGTAGTGAACTTCATGCTTTATGTCACTCACAGTTTGTTTCAACTCACGGGCTGTAGCTGTTGCTGGCTGAGCCTTTAAGGCTTTGGCGCTTCGAACACCGTGTTCCAGCAGAATTTCTTTAACATCCGAGTTCCCAGTTTTTTCAGCAGTGTCTAGTGCGGTTTCCCCTGACTTATTAACTGCCAATGAATCTGTTTCTGTCTGTCCAAGAAGCAGCTTAACAATCTGCACAAACAGAAATCAAGACTTCAGACTCTATCACTAGTCCAATAACAACAAATATCAAATTAACTTTTTTCTGGATCAGGACTGATTCCTAGGAATGTTTTCAAGACCGTTTCTTGACGCTTCAACTAAAGAATATAAGCACGAAATAAGATCATGCTCTCAAAATTCCCTTCTTTTTTCTTTCGTTCTTTTCAATGGCCAAACATGTTAAAAACAGACATAATTTGAAAATTATATGCTTACTTAGACACCTTCAGAATCCAGAAGCTAAGGGCCAAAAGCTTCAAAAGAATTCTAACCTAGGTCTTAGCTAACCAAAGATCTGACCTTGAACAGTGTAATGAATATCATAACAACAACTATAAAGCAAATCTCAACCAAATCATAACCAAATCTATTGCTACATCTTGCATTTGTCCCGGGAACAAGTGCATAAGAGGTACTAAAAGTCTAACTCAAAGTGGCTGTTTCCAAAATGACCACGCAAATATCATAAATTTTGGACTATCACTTCCTTCATCTTCATATTGTAGTAAAATTTATGGACAGGTTTTAAATTTAAAAAACAGAAGGATGAAACAATTTCAGTGATCAGGTAAAAATCATTCAAGCTGATTCCTATCATGAATTCCTAATACTAGGAGTACTATCAACTCAAATGGTATTCCTGTTCTCAATGCAGGATACCCGTGGAAAAAAAGAACACATTATCCACATCAATGGTGATCTAAATCACAAGCCATTTCTTATCATCATAACCTTGCATATGAAGTTTTTATGTAAGTATTAGCTTAATTATGACAGGTATAGTCTAATTTACCTGACCCCTGCCCTTCCTGGTTGCTATATGCAATGCCGTGTTACCCTTATTATCAACCATGTTTAGTGTTGAGGGATCAGCTTTTATCAACTCCTCCACCACCTCAAGATTCTGTCCCTTCACTGCCATGTGAAGTGCTGTCTGTCCCTTCTTATCAGTACGCGTTGCAACTGCAGGCTCCTTCTCCAGAAGTGCTTTCACAACCTCTAAATGTCCATTTCTTGCTGCAGAATGCAAAGTCGTTTTCCCATTACTTCTAGCAATGGTTGCCAGATTACTACCTGCTTCCAAAAGAAATGTCACTATCTCAATATGCCCTTGTAATGCAGCAGTGTGCAGGGCTGTGGTGTTGGCTGGATCCACTGTCATTGACAATTCAGAATGAGCCTCCATTAGAATCTTCACAATATCTGCAGCAGGGGAAATTGTTATGAGAAGTACGAAAGTAATAAAGAAACTAAAAAAAGACCATTGCGATCAACATTCACTGACAGAAGAGAGATTCAAATTCTTTGTAGATAACAGATACAAATAGTCTCACTCAATGATTCAAAGAAACTCCCGTTATTTTACCCCAAAGGCCTAAACTGCAATCCTATAAACTGATTCATATTCCAAAAGAAAGAGTAAAAATTAAAAAGCGGTTCTTCAGATTTTGAATCCATTAAAGATGTTCGTGTTATTTTTAGTCCTAGTACATCTAAGAATTATTAATTTGTTGGATTAAGTAGTCCCAAACTCTAGAACAAAAGGCTATCCAAAACTTACACATATTGAGTATTGATTACAAGGAGGGTTACAATCCAGGGTGACCCGTTAACAAAACATTAAAGGAATCTCAACAGAGACGCAATTGAGATTCCCTTGGGAGATCACACACCACAAGAGAACCAGCATAGATAGTGATATTGAAGGCATACCTAAATCGCCTTGTTTGGCAGCAATGTGGAGTGCATCAAAACCATTCCTTGCCTTGATTCCAGCACCAGCAAGATCATAATATTGAATCATCTCCCTAACCATATCAACATAACCATATTCAGCAGCAACATAAAGCACCGTTTCTCCAGCATGGTTCTGCTTTGTCAACAACGCACGCAGTTCACCCCCTTCATTGCCACTAACTGTGTCTTTCAGAACGCTCAGATTCCCTGCTCTTGCAGCTGAGTGCAGAGGGGTATCATCCCTTTTACCTGTCAATTGTTTTGTCATTTTTTTCCTTGGTGTGCTTGTTGATGCAACTTGCGGCTGCACAGTTGGTGACTCCATTGGAATTGGATTCACGCACCACCCTAATTATCTCAGTCTTGACTTTTAACTACTATATATCAGAATTCAGAACCTTCTTTTCTTCCTTCCAGCAAAAACCCAGATCAACACTAGCATCTTTCATCCCAAACAATTCTCTCTCCTTGAAGCAACTCAAAGGAGAAGATCATCCAAATTAATAGCCAAAAGAAAAAAAAATCTCAAAATATCAGAAACTTTCTATCCTCATGCAAGACTCCATAATCATTGCACTGGTCACCCAACAAAGAAAAAAAAAATAGTTAGAACTTAAAAAGTTAAAAAAAAAAAATGGATCAAGCTTTTTTTTTTTTTTTTTAAATTGCATTTTCTTAATGTTTGAGAGAAAGTGTGGAGAGTGAAAGAAGAGACTCGGTCTCACCTGGTTGTGTTGGGCTTCACAGAAAGCATTGAAATTTGGGGTTAGCTTTGGCTGAACATCCTGTAATGTAAAGAGACGAACTTCGGAGACAGAGAAAAAAAGAAGGAGGAGAAAGTGAATGAATGGGTTGAAGGCGATGAAGAATTAGAAGGTGGAAAGAATAAGCGTAGGCAATAGAGGGCAATGATTAAGACATAAGAGACGAAAGGCACATGCAAGCAACAACATTACGCGAATCTTAATCAGAGGCCGAGAGATAGCTACCAAACTTAACGTTGTAGTGACGATGGAAGGAGGAGAAAGTGTTGATATGAGTGAAATGATGGGAATAAAGAAAAGGAAAATATTTGATGAAAAAAAAGGAATGTGAAGAGAAGAATTAATAAAGAAAAATAGTGGAAAACAGCAATGGCGGTGGCTAATGTGGTGAAAGAGAACCACGATACCAAAATCGAAAGAGTCCAATGAATGAAAATAGAATTAACAAAACCACGCGCACTAGGATTCCCACTCCGGCGAGTGCACCACGCTTTTCCTTCAAGCAATAGTTTTTGGTTTTGCACGGTTGACTCCTCCATCGCTAATTTAAGTCGTCAATCAAACTATCCACTTTTTTTCTTCTTTTATATCATAATTATTTGCAGCTACCACCCTTTATTTCTTTTTTCGTTTTTCACGTTGGATGAAGAAAAAAAAAATTGTACCAATTCAACACGTTTTTAAAGAGGAGTTAACTTGTTTATGTGTAACTAAATTAGGTAATGGTCTTATAGTTGGTTTATTAAAACTATTAAAAATATCTTAAAAAATATTGAAAATTTTAAGATTTTAATTATAATAGTTAAAAAAAGTTTAATGATAATGTTTTTATATGTCATTTATAAAACATAATTAATATAAATAATGTAAAATTAACAAATTTATTATTATTATTATTATTATTATATATGTTTTTTATAATTAAATGATAATATAAATCTTTAACTTTTTAAAAGAAAATAAATAATATTCGCATGTTTAAGGCTAACTTCTGCTCCTTTAAATTGAGAAATGTACTTAAAGTAAAAGTATACATTATGAATATAATATGGATTAATTTTCTATTTTTAAATAGATTGTATTTATTCCACGAATAAAAAAATTATATTTATTATAACATTTATTAATTATATTCTAACTTACTTCTCGTGCCCCTTTACTCGAAATCTTTATTTATTTAATACTTACTCGTTTTTCTTCATTGATCGTAACATCTTAGTTTCGAACTCGAACTTTAATTGATATTCCTCGGCTTATTACTTGAATTCATAACTTGAATCAATTTTAGCTTTCAAATAAAATAATATTTATAAAATTCAAATTCAAAAATAAATATTATATTTTAAATAAGTAATATAAATAAACTTTCAAAATCAATTAATACATAAGTTAATTTAATTTATAAAGACTTTCTTTTTCGCTCTTAGCATTTTTTAAGAAAGTTTATATAAATAAGAATTAGGTGTAATCTAAATTTGCTAAATCTCAATGAATGTAATACTTCTAACACAAGACTGACAATTTTATACACATGTGCCCACCTGTCCTTTATTAGAACTTTACTGAATGAATTCAAAAAATTTATGCTAATTATATAAATTGGATACAAATTTGAGTATAATATTCTAAAGAAGCGTATGTATGATTTGTTTCGTACACAAATCATTACTCAAGTTTTTAACATCATCTTTTGTTATAATACAGTAATGTTAAAACTTTATAATAATCTTTGAAGATAATTTTTTTTATTAATTCACTGTAGCTAAAAAAGGGTTTGTCACATTAAAAACTACTTTTTATGAAAAGAATTAAAATGTTACATTTATTTAAGAATCTTAAGAATATTAAATTGAACTGAAGGGGAAAAAATTAACCTCAGAGAATTAAAATACTAATTTTATCTTCAAAATTTAAATTGTAAATTTGTATGTAATTTTAATGTTGTATGCGATTTGTAAATTTATATGCAATTTTCAGAAGTAAACAATAGTGACATATTAATTATGTACCAACTATTTGTCATTTATAGTAATATACACTTGACTCGTTATAAGCAAGGTTTAAGATGTGATTGTAAGAAGAAGAAATAATTCAAGAAAAACATATTAATTTGATTTTTTTAAAATTTTTTAATAACAAATTTAGATATTATTTTTGAAAACAAATCGAAAAATTTTTATAATAATTTAATTTTTAAAAATTATTTTAAATGAACAAAATTATAAATATAACGAAGCAATCATAACTAAAGTTAAAATTTAATTTTGATAAATTTATGAAAATGAAACTAAGTTATTTAAGATTGATTGTTTATTATTTTAAAAATAATTTTAATTCTCTAGTTTTTAAAAACTAAATAATTTGTTTAATAAATATTTTGTTTTTTAGAATTTAAAAAATAAAAAAATCATAATTAATAAAAATTGTTTTTTATTTAAAATTTTTATATCCAATAAAGAGTATCAATGTTTTCATCAACATTAATAATTACATTAAGTAACTCATTTTCATCGTTATAAATTTATTAAAATCATTCTTCAATTTTTGTCACTATTTTTTACAGTCATTTATATCATTTTTTAAAATAATTTTAAAAATAAAATTATCAAATAAATCATTTTTTTCAAGTTATTTTTATTAAAAATTAAATATATAACTAAAACAAAAAAAATAATTATTAGTAAAAATTTGAATACTCATTAATAAAAATATAAAATAAAACATACATTTTACTTATTTTAATTTTTTAGTTTCTAAAAGCCAAAAAATAAAACAATTTAAAAAATCTATTTTAATAAAACACTTGTCAAACATTTTTTAAAAATTTAAAAAGTTAAAAAGTTGTGAACTGTTTTTAAAATTTGAAAACAAACAAGCTCCTAATTTCATAACGAAACGAATATTAAGTTGTTACCGCCTCAAAAAATTGTTTATTACATAAATACTTATAGTCTACATTAAAAAAAAAAAAAAAAAAAACCACTAAGCTAAATGAGGTATTATTCTATCGAATTTGGCATGCTAAATCCAAAGCTTTCACTTTTTAAATACCATGTAATTTGTAATTTATCAATAGATAATGTAGTTTAAAACCCCACTAAGAAACTTGGTTTTTTGATGTGACCTCCTTCATTTTGATTTTGTCACATTCCAATTGCAAGGAAACTAGGTTCATGCACTTTCATCTCTTTTTTTTTTCATATTCACTGTCATTCGAGGTGATTTAAACAAGTATTGATATAAATAAATGTCACTGCCACCTCAAATTTAAGTAATTTTTGAAAAGTATAAATTAAAATAATAGATAAAAATTATAATATATGTGCATGTTAGAAAAACATCAACCTCTAAACACATCCAAATGGATAAATTGAGTTTGTAAATTCTTTTTAAATCTAATAATTATTTAAAATCTTTTTTTGATAATCACATTTAAAATAATTAAAACAATATTTAGATCACAAGAATATCAAAATAAAGAAAAGAAAGAGAAGACACGTAGGAGTTTATACTGATTAGATTATTTTGAATTTATGTCCAATCCAACCAAGCAACCTTAACTTGAATTTTTCATTAAAACTTGTATAGTAACCAAATTACAACCTAATTTGCAAATATTGATTATAATAATATTTGATCAAGATCTAAAAACAAATCACAACACTTAAAAATGTTTATCCTCACAATTTTCAAGCTAATTTAATGTAGCTCACCTCACATATATCAGAATACAATAAAGATTCACAAAGAGAAATACAAGAATGATTTCACCTTAGACAAATACTGTTTTCTATAACCAAGTAATCTCTTCTTTGAGTTTGAATTTCTTCAAAATGTTTTCTTGATGCCCACAACATTTCTTTTTAATGTTTTAATTGTTTCTAAAAGATGTGTTTTTAATTGAAGAAAGTTTACATCATTTTATAGTATAAAAATATGTTGCAATTAATTCAGATAATCGATTGACATAATATCTAATCGATTATTTGTATATAGTGATAGTACAAAAATAAGTCATATATCGATTAGGTAGTAATATAATCAAATAGGTACCAACATAATCGATTATTAAAGTATTATGGTAGAACAAAGATTTAAGCACATGATCGATTAAGTGACCATATAATCGATTATTAGCATGTATTATGAAAACACGAATTTAACTTATATAATCGATTTAATACTTATTTAATCAATTAATACAAATTTAGTTTTAACATAATTTATTATTTTTAATTTTTTACCTTTTTTATTTTAACAAAGATTAGATTATTTAACTTTACACAAACTACTCACACAATTATCTAGTTATCTTCGCTAACAAGACATAGTTTATTGAGATGAGTATTTTTCAGGAGTTATTGCATTGCTTATTCAAAATAGTCTAATTTTTTTTTAAATGTTTAAAAATTACGTGTGTTGTTCATGTAATAATAGACTAACTGAGATGGAGATATTTTAAAAATAATCTGTTTAAATTTAATATATATAAGTGGAGTATAAGAGATTTAGAAATATATTTTTGTCATTCAAAAAATCGAATAATATAGTTTAAGTTGTG